AACTGGCAGAAAATCTGATAAATACCATTTTTCTGATTTTTAACTAAAAGAAATGCTGAGTGCATATGACTCTCTTCATAGATTTTTCATGTAAAACTAGAGGAAATTACGAACATAGATATGTTCAATAGAAATAATAATGTAACCAATTGAAATTACACCTTGGTTTTTTTTGCATGAGCAATATTTTCTACTTTGCTTCAGTGATGTGAATGATGTAGGAACCTGCTGCATTAAGATGGTCTAATGTTTTTACTTGCATCTTGTACTTCATTAATTACTTTAATATGTGTAAGGAATGACATGGATATAGGTTATCCAGTGTTTGTAAGGTTTAGGTGGTCACATGGTGCCTTTTTATTCCTTATGTGCTATGATTTCCAGTGACAGTATGATCATTGCATATTGTTCAAACTATCAATTGAAAGATACCTAAGAATAAGAGTAAGATCTGTTTCCAGTTGCATACTGATATTTTGATTGCTGCTGGAAAGAATGAACTGAAATGCATTTCTAATCCAATGCCGTAATTCCATGTATGAAAACTGAATTTCTGTGAATATTCTTTAAGGTGTTTAAATTTAATGTCTTTTGATGGAATTAAAAACATTGTAAGTATCTGCCTCTTTGTTGGTTATCTGTGTGTTCTCGGTCACTGCATGTGTAGGTTATTCTTCCTTTCTGGAATGTTGTGGTGTTAATGTAAAAAGATGCTCTTTCTTATGGCTTTCAGATTTTGTGGTGCTCTGATATTCTCTTAGTGTTCTTTTTTGGATCTATCTGATAGTAAGTCATTATCTCTTCCTCAAACTTTCATTAGACAGACTGTGGCCACCATGTTTCATAATGTACAGTTTGACAACGGTAGTAGGCAGAAAGTGTCTTCTAAAGCTGAATTGTAAGAACTCTTCACGCAAGCGTTGCAGATCCAGTTGGCATCCAAATCATGTGTAAACAGACTGGCTTCCTCTTCCAAATGCTTTTCTGCTTCAGCCTTTGTCCTTCTGCATCTATGCAGCTCACTATAGCTAGATCCCTTTAGTAACGAATGCTTTGTACTCAGCTTTCAGATGCTTTGCTTTAGAGAAGTGGATTTGGTACAGACATCGATCCTTGGTTTTTCATGATGCTATCTCTAGTATATCAGTAAGTGCTTTCAAAATTAGGCTCAACCTTTATAATGGGCATTGGAAGAGCCAGAGACATGGCACAGAGTGGAAATGCTTCTGGGAGTTAGATCTGAGAAGAAAATGGGAAGCAGCATATTGTAGCAAGAGAATCTTACACTTTGTCCTCTGATTTCTTTTTGTTTACAGTGAAGCAGGATAATTCAGTCTGTAGGTGCCTGATACATTGACCATACTGGCCAAATTCTCATATGGTGGGAGGGATAAGATAGAGGAGAAATAATACATTTTTGGAAGCATATGCTACCAGAAGCATATGCATCCAAGTTTTTTTAGGAGTCAAAGAGAACCTAGAATTTCCATCAAACTGTGGAAAGGATGGCTGTTTCCCATCATGAAAAGGTGGAGGTCTTCAATGTGTTTCTCTTTGCAAAGAAGCATCACTTTGGTCTTGTCTGGATTCAGTTTGATCCATCTGTTCTTCATTTAAGAGCTAATTTCCTGTAGTTATTCTGATGTTTTATAGTGATGATAGTTGCATCAGAAAATGAGATAAATAGTAGATTGTCAGCAACATACTGTTAGCAATTGAACACATGCCATATCACTCTCCCTCTCAGCAGTCTCATGTAGATAGATGTAGATTGTATGGATCCCCGTGTGATTCTGAAGGTGAGGGAGGACCTTGGAGGAAGAGTCTCCTATCCACTGCTTTTTTTATGAATTATGGGTAGAACACAAGATGCAGTACTACTGTGTTGTTGGGACTGTGTAATAGAGGATTCAGGTGTCTGAGAACAGGGAATCTGGAGATTAAAGTTCCGTGGTTGGTGGGAGTTTTATAAAATCCTCTAGGAAGTTGTCAGAATTTCCATCTGTAGTTTGCGTACCACTGGAAGCCCTGGATTCTCTATTCCTTTGTCTCACAGTGCATATGGATACACTCAAATGTTTTCATTTCTTGGTGGAACATCTTCTGCATTTGACATTGAGACCACTGGACCCTTCCTCTATGTTTTATTTGTTTTTTTTTAAAAAACTTCTGGTATTTATCGTGGCCTGTTACTATCAGTGTTCTGCTCTCTATCTTGACTCTTCTGAAGGGTAGCTGTGCCAGGATAAGGTTGAGATGGTATTCAATCATGCCTTGGTGATGCAAAAGAAGTCCAGGTGTTTCATCTGCAAGGGGAGCACAGATGTGTTGTTTTTCTGAGGGGAACCTTTGCGTTCAACAGCAAGAACTTCAGATAGTTTTCTTCTTATCCTTTGTTTGATGATGTTATTGTCTAAGTAATTGGCTACAAATACCAGCTTGTGTTTATTCTAATGTGTGATGTTCTGGGAGAGTCACTCCTCACCTTAAGGATACCAAGGACTTAAAAAAGTAACATGTAAGGTTTTGGGCAGCCCAGTTTGCCTGGATTTGTTTAGATTCCCATGACCTGTACGTGTTGTACAGTGTAGTTTCTAAGATTTTAATACTCGGCCCTTACTCAGATCATAGCAACAGGCAAGTAGTGTTGGAGTGACAGTCTGTGGTCTAAATTCTGGGGTGATGTTTCATTCAATTTTTGAAAACTCTTCCACTAACATGAGAAAACAACAGACTGTTACCAGGTGGCATACACCAGGGATGGGAAGGAGTGCAGAGCTATGAGTTCTCCAGCAAAACAAGAGGCAAATGGGACTGGTAGGCTCAAAAACTAAATAGAACCTCCTCATATTCCTAAGATTGTGAACAACTTATCTACTTAGTTTTGATTAATTTTAATGTCTGGAGGCAACACTTCTGCATCTGTACTAGGACCACAGGACTCTTCCTTTTCTTATAATCAAATAGTCAGTGGGAATGTGTATATCAGGATGAGACTAATAATTTTTTCGGGACTATTGATAATATCTCACACTACTGTAGTAGTTAAATACGGAGATTAATTGACATCCTTTATTTCTGATGTTTTGTATAACATAAAGATAATTTGGTAAGACTCAATAATGGAGACAGATGCTTTGCATGTCAGGACAAAGTGTCTGGATGGAAATTCTGAGGGTAACCATGGGAAAGATTAATGGTTTCAAAATATGTGGATGAGCCTTATCTGTCAAATAGGCCAGAGCAAATCCCTATATTCAGATGCTTTCACTGCAGGCAGGATATTTGAAATGCAAATATTATAGCAGAGGCCTATCTCTATTAAAGCCAAAATTTGAAGAAATGACCTCATTAAGAAGTAATGTCATGTTACAAAACATTAATTATACTTGGCCAATCTCTGTCTGCTATGAATGGGAAACAGCATAGTGAGTACAATTCTAATGTCAGTGATTTGTTTTCATGTGTTATATATACATGGATACATACACATTGTCTGCAGTGCCCAAAAAACTAAGCCTCTTCAACCAACAAGTTTGTTGTTTATCAGGTGAAAAAAAAAGTAGTGTAGAACTGGCATGAATTAATTTATCTGTTCTGCAGGTTTATCTGTGACTGTCCAAAGATTCATGGTATTTCATTTATTTCAGTGTTATCAAGTTTATCCTTTTGCCCCTGACTTTTGTCTGAAAGCATTTCAGTGTACTAAGCTGTGATATGCTCAGGTTGTGGTGCAGTTCCTTTCTAAAAAATGTTACACTGTCACAGCTTACATCAATATATGTGTGATTATAGAGCAAGACACTGTTGCTAAAGCTGGGTGAACAATTTATTATTAACGTAATTCATTAAGGATGAGTCTTTAGGTTTAGATCAAGTATGAGGTCGTGTTTGAATGAATATGTTGCCTCCTTGGCTGCATAAGAGAAGCATTATTCTTCCTTTGCTCTCCTACTTCTCTGCTGATTAACACAAAGGAAGGGAAAAGCCATGAATCCTTCCTCTTTTCCTCCAGGTAGGTAGGTCAGGAAGAAACTCTTGCTTCACTCTCTTTTAATAAATCATTGTCAGAATAGATTCCGTATGACTACATGAAAGCTGGAGAGCTCGTTTCTTACTCCCTCGGGTATCGGCAGACATGCAGATGTGTGCAGAGGGGTGCAATTCCATGCATATGCCCTTGTTATGCTTGCTAAGACATTGTGAACAATGCCTGTTTTCCTTACTTTTATGTATTCATTAGAAAGTTTGAAGAAACTAACACTGAACTTTACAAACTGCCATTATGTCTAGCTCCTCATAGAAAACCTCTGGTATTTTGTGAGTAGGGGTCAGATCATTTAAATCACAAGATTTGTTATTTATTTAGTGGTTTTCTCTGACTTGTCAACTCTTTCAGTGTAAGAAACTTCAAACAGGGGAATAAATACACAGAACTGGTAGAAGAAGAAAAATTCAAAAATTTGCACCAATTGCCTGAAACCTTGTAAAAAATAAAAAATATAACCTTAAAGATGAAGTGTTTTCCATCAAAAAAATTACTTTGTTCTATTTACTTAGTCATCTGGGTAGGCTGTTATGTGCACCCCCATGCACGCATGAAAGCACACACATACACACACGTGGTAAGTTTGAGGTTGTTCAGTTAAAAGAGTTTTGAGGAAAATGTATCCTGTTTACTGCATAGCTATGTGACCAATACAGAACTGTAATATAAATCTCAGAAATTTCCATCCTATTGTTTTTTATTACTGAAGAAAGTAGACCAGGATGATAACAGTTGGATGCAAAAAGCAATCATATTTTCGGCATAAAAATAGTGCTATTGTTTAGTAAGCTATACTACTTAAATGTATCAAGGGGATATACTGGCTTGCCCTGGATGGTTTTATTCTTTTTTGTTAAAAATATCTTTCATTTCCACCCCCCACTAAGAAGGAAAGAATGTTTCCCATTAAGATATGAAGTGAGTTTGTTTTTCACTTTTGCCTTTTACATAGGGATACTGAATATAAAGGACTACAGCTCTCCCTGGATCAGGTCACTGCTACCAAGCCGGCATTCTCATACGCAAATTCAACTCCGACCATAACGGATAATAGAAAGGGAAGCAAATCTCGCCTCTCGAGCACAAAGTCAAAATCAAGGACATCACCATACCCACAGGTAGTTGTCTTTGAAAAACAAAACTAAAACTTTTTTTAATATCTTGATTTTGACTGCTATTTTACCCAAGTAATCAGAATGGGCCAAAGAACATGTTACTGAAAGCGAATAAAGGACAACAGGTTATAAGATCTCGAGACAGGAATATGTTTCTTTAAACTGTTTCTAAAAAGCTGGAAACATTTATGTTTCAGCATGCGTAATAAATCATAATCAACAATAATAACAGTGTAGAGCTCAGAGTTAACGAGCAGACAGAAGGACAAGTGAAAACGTTGGTTTTGAAATACTTGGTTTGAGAGGATTGTGAGTTTTGCCATTTGGGAAGGCTTGCTTTTTCTTACTTACTCTTTAATAGATCCAACTAGAAAGCTGCCAGATGTTTGACAGCAGTTTAATACTGAAATCTTAGTCAGGAGGAGTGAGTTTTGAGGAGGGAAAGCAACAAGCTGGCTTGCTGAACTGGGACAGGAAAGCATTTCTATGAACAAAGCTTTGAAAGGGAGAAAGTGCTAGGAGGTGACCATTAGTGTCAGTAGATTTTAATTTCTCAGGTATAATTTGCAGGCCTAATGTGTAAGGTACATGTCCCCACTTGGAGAATGGATTAGACTTGACTGGGTCGCTGAACCGGAGCTTGCCTAATACATTTATGCAGCTGCTTTCTGCAGACAATGCCATAGCACTTGCACACTTACATTGCCGACCCTTTAGCTCAAATAAATCTCTTTGTCAAAATAACTATTATGTTTACTAAACAATGATGCAAGTCTTACTGCATCCACACAGTGGATAGAAATGTATGCATGCATGATGTAACATTGAAGAACTCTGTACTTTTAAAGAGTCCAGGTCAATATTTAACTGATAATGACCTTGATGACTAAAGTTTCTCTGCAGGCACAATGTTTTCTAAACTGACCTCTAAGGGTGCACAATGGGAGCCCATGTCTACATCATTTCCTTGTATTCTTTCTTTTTCCTCTCAAAAGTACCAAGGGTAAGAATTTCAGTTAAAACACATCTGCTTTTGACACAGGGAATATTGAACCAAGTGCCTAAATATGAACTCAGATTCTTTATTTTAAGAATCTGATATTGCCAGAGGTCGTTATGACTCTCTTTGTTTAATCATTTGTTCATACGCATTTCTGTGGGTTAAAGAAGAGCCTTTCTCTTGAATGCACTACACCAAATAATTGCAATAAAACTGCTTCAAAGAATTGGGAACTATACCTGCAATTAATTACAAATTAGATATTTATGATTACTATCTTTGATTTACTGAAATTACCTTTTGTCTCCCCTTATATAGTCCTTTCAGAAGTCCTTATTTGCTAGCAGGACAATCTCAACTGAAGACCCATTATCCTCCCACATCAATCTGCTTTCTGAAAGCGTGACTTTCATCAGTACCTCCTTATTCTCTCTGCCACCAGAAAAAAATCCTGAACTAGCAGTGCAGCATTGAAACTGCTGATTTATCAGGGATTGTTGTCTGAAATCTCAGAATGTTTTATGTCCAGTTTCATTTTGCATCTTTATTACAAGTTGCCTGGTGGTAAAGTCACAGATCTCGTCATTTAAAAAGAAGCAGCCGTGCTGGTTGCCAATATCTTGAAAAATGGTCATACCGTTCATTGTAGCACATCACCACAAGCAAGGCTGGCAGCTTGGCTTTGCATCCCTCCCATCCTTCTCCACTGCTGAACAAACTGTTGAAAGACTAAGAAAAGCTGTTGTGAAGAACATGCAGCAGGTGGTATGGCCTGTGTCCCTCAGTCTCCAGCCCACGTAATTTGCCAGCCAGTCGCGGAGAATTAGAGTGTGACTCAAAAGCCACGGCTGAAAAGTGAGGTCATGGGTTTTGGCTTACACAGGAGCCTGGGTTTTGGTGGAGGAAGGAAGCAGGAAGTTTATTAGTAAAATAATGTCAGTGGGCAAAGTATTTCTTAAAGGTAAGGGCACCTAGGAGATTTTAAATGTACACACTTTCTTCCCTTTTTTTTTTTTTTCCTTTCTTTTCCCTTGCCATTTACTTTGCTTCACTCTTGAAGACAAAAGGGAATCATCTGTTTTATTGGGTGTTGACTGCGAATCCTCTCCTTTGCCAGCTGTGTGCCCCTAGGATAGCTATGTGAGATGTGAACTTATGAAAACCATGTTAATAAACTTCAGCTGAATGTTTACTACTAGGGCAGAAGGTGGATGTTTTGGTCACTTAAGACAGTGTTAATGTTTTTTTCTTCAAACCTTATGCAAAAGCATAGTGTGATATGGCACTTGTAGACTTTTTAGGTAAAAACTGAGTTAATTAAATTGGAGGCATTGGCCAGCATCTAATTAGCACTGACTGACATTAGTACAGTAGAGTTCTGTGGAACCAGCCCCAGGCAGGAGAAGGGCAAGCAGAGAGGAGAGTAACCCAAAATTCATGAAACAGCTGTAGGATTTGCACAGACACTTTGAACATTGCTCTTCTAGTCCTGTCCTACCAGAGAGGTGGAGGGCTGAAAGAGAAGGTGAAAAAATAGGAGAGATGAAGACTTGCTAGAGGTTTGCAGAAAAAGGAGGTTGTGAGTTGGTTAAAAGATGCCTGTAGTCTTCCCCCATAGTAATAATAATTGTGAGGGGCTCCCAAAATCTAGCCCCGGACGTCATTTATTTTGTGTTCCCAAAAGCTAGCCCTGGACCTCATTTATTCTGTGCACAGGAAATAGCAACAAGATTGGAAAAACATTTTAATTGTGATCATCTGAACAACTGCTTCGGAGTTTATTCTCCTGTTGATGATGATCGTTTAAAGAAAATATTCAAAATTGTCTGTTGTCTACCTCTAATGGAAACATTTTATGGTCAGATCTGGATAAACATTTATTACTTAATATCTCATCTTAGTTCTTGGATAAAGATTATATATATATAAAATGAACGCACACATACAAGTAAGGATGTACACAAGAGCTGTTGGATGGAGGCTTTGGTGTGTGTTACGGCATGCATGAATTTTTGGAAGTAAGAGCCTTCTCTGGTATGTGTATGTTAATACACCTGATTTTGGAGGTACATTGATTTTATAGATCTTTTAAACAGATGATCTGGATTAATTCTGAAATCCACCTCTGTTTGGGCATATCACCCAAAGGGGTAATGATAACAGAAACAGGCTGAATTCTAGTCAGCCTTTTTTTGTTTGTTTGTTTTTTTTTTCATTTCTTCCTGTAGCCTAAAGCTTTGGCAGCTTCCAGTGTATTCAAAAGCCTCTTTTTATAGTAAACATAACTCCTGATCTGGTGAAGAGTCACCAGCAGTGGGGGTTATTTTAATGGACATGCTGTATTACTTTAATCTAAGCCTTCCACCATCTGTTCTGCCTATAATCGTGAATGCAAAAAGAACGTATTTTACATTTCAGGATTACATTAGTAAAAAGTAAGATAAAAGTGATTTAAAAGCATGCACATGTTCTTAGTACAACACAGCCCGCATCTGTGATGTTTTTTCTCATGGTTAAGACACAAATCAAGAGGAAAGCTGCTAATGCTGATGTAGTGAAAGTTTTTCATGGAAAAGAGGACTCTGAGAGGGTTTCACTATATATTTAGTGTTTATAATGATAAAAACCTGAGTAGGCTGCCAGAACATTAGATATCTATAGCAACTATTGTTCAAACATTTGGTGCACGGAGCAGGCTGGTGTTGCTGCGTATGACAGGATGAGTGCTCAGGCCAGTGATACACCTGTAGGAATGAGAGGTCAGGCAAAAGAAAATAATCTAAGAAATATTATCTAATACACTTCCATGGGCTCTCGTGAAGTAAGCTTTTCTTAGATATGGAATTGATATTTTCCTATTTCCTTGCCCCTTCAGCCCTCCTGAAGTTCTTCTTGAAGTGAAAATAGCACCAGTAATGGCCTATAGCCCCTTTCTATGCCAGTCCTAATCTCACTGGTGTGCTCTCACTATGATAATACACTGGATTAGCAGTCTGGAAGACATTTCTAGTATCCAGAAGTGGCAATTGAGTTTCCAGGAGACAGCTGGAGGACCATTTAATTTATCTGTTGTTGTTGTTTATGCCAGAAGACAATTCAGAATTCACCTGAAGGGATTTCACGTTACCTATCTGAAGTTTTTTGTCATGTTTAACTTCTGTCTGCTGATTAAATTTTGTCAAAAAACCAAAAATATGAGCCAGAAAGGCAAAAATTAGCAGAAAGGAAAACATTTCTGGTGAGGCAGGACTAGGATTGAAATAAAAAAAAATCACTAATTTTAATTGGCCATAATGTTTGTTAAATCTGATTCCGTTTTCTATGGTCTTTCATCACTTGACATATGGGAGCCTAATTCTGACTTGAGAGATAGTGTTTCCACTCCCATTTCAGTAAGCAGTATCTTTGATCATCCTTTCATTTCTCCCTCCGTCAACATGTCACACATGCCTGTATTTGGAGTCTCCACCTGTCAACATCAGATTCCCAGAAAAGCCAGTGATAGGACTGCAGTGTTAGAAGCAGCCTGACGATGCCAAATAGAGATGTGATTAGCTTTAAAGGGAATTAGACATATTTTTGGCCTCTGTCTGCTTATGTTGTACCTTAAGAATAAGCAGTCATGTCAAAGCTTGATAGACAGCGTGGGCTACAAGCAATTCACTGTGTTAATTTAGTTCTGTCCATGGCCTAGCAGCTGCGATGGGTCAGATCTCAAATAATCATCATTTACATCAAGTACAAAGAATATGCATGAAGTATTGTTGGTCTTGACTAAATGGTTATATGACATTACATGGTGCATTTCTGATATGCTGAACATATACCCTTTGAAATGGTTTCCCTTTCTTTAAGAAAAGTGCACCAAGACCTGTACAATTGAATCCTTTGTGGTTAGGTTCAAGATAAAAAACCAAAAATTGAGCAAGTTTTCAGTTAAATGGAGAAATTTCCTTCAAGAGAAGCAGTGTTGCACCCTCGAGTGTCCTTAGAAATAGAGAACTAGTAGAAGAATATCTATTAGAGCTAAATGATATTAAGAATTTTCAATTTGAAAGAATCTCTGGAATTTATTATCATAATAAATTGTCCAAAAATGAAATTTCATTATAATATTATTAGAAATTAATTTCTGTTGTCCTCTTTATGAAAGAAATACTATGAGTTTTTTTAATAAGAAAAGACTTTTTCAAAAAGTAGTTTAAAATTTAAAAAAACATTTTAACTTTTTTTATACTTACACTTATGTTTACATTATCTTCTATTTCAGCTTAAATTTTTAAATTAAAAAATCTAGTTTATAAAAGTCAAATCCAAAAAGAGCACTAAAAATAATTCTAAAATTAAGAACAGGTGCAAAAGTAGTTTTCCTTTTGTGAATTTCCATTTTAGCTAAAATTTAATAGTCAAAATCTTGTTAATAATTTCTATTTTTTTTCATTGGAAACTTAATTTTATCTATATATTTTTGTAAAAGGTTTACAATAATTCCGTTGGTATTTATGAGGATACCTTTGTGACTAAGCAGTTTGAAGACATTAGATCTGAAAGGATAATAGAAGAGCTAGACATTCCAGTTGGTCACATAACACTGTGATGGCTGTATAAAGATCCTAGTTAACGTATTCCAAGTTACTGGCATTTGAAGAAAACTTTATTGTGGCTCTGTAACTATCTTGCCTCCACACAAAATCAGATGTATCCTTTCATCTCTAAGACCTTCCAATGAATATGGTGATACTAACTTGCTGACCTCCAAATCTACTGGTAAACTTTTTGCCTACGAATATTCTTCTGAAAACTAACAACAACATATAATTGAGCTCCTCAAAGCCATGACCCTTTCTTTCTTTCCCTTAAATAACTTACCGTGTTAATAAACAGCATCCACAAATATAAAGAGGAATACTGAAGAAATACCCAATTAAATGCCAAAACCGAAGTAGTTCCACTACTGATGTTGCACAGATGGTTTAAGTTTCTGTAAGTCTAACATCTGGTCGGTACTTTCGATTGGTAAGTGCATAAAACCTTGATCCTGTCTGATAATGAGGAGTTTCATAGCAACTCAATCTAATGAAAAGGAAGGTAAGCTTATGTTTTCAGGAGAGAGGACTAATGCCTATTAAAAGAAAAGGCAGAGTGGGCATCTGGAAGGCGAGTGATGGAATGGGAGAATTCCAAGGTTTCATGTTGTAATACATTGATTTGTGACACGAGTGTGCAGTACTGAAGAGGTGAGCATGTACAGCTTTGGTCTCATCCCATTTCATAATCATGGGTGAAATTGATTTAAAGATGTTCCATGGAGTTAGACAGTTTAATAAATAAAAAGATTTAAAAATGAGATAGCTAAATCCTAGGAGGTTTAATAAGCATTCTTTTTTTTTCCCCTCTCAGAAAGTATCTAAAAATTTGAAACATTCACTATGAACATATAGAAATTTGTGACATTTAACTTAGCCCCTACTTCTTTCTAACCAAGATCATGTTCCTATTCTGTCTGCTTTTCCAACCGCCTGCTAACTTCATCTTCGATGTTGAGAGGGCCCTGCTTAAGCAAGGGTGCCCAAATGCCCGCTCTGCCTGCTTTGACTAGAGGTTGCCTTTTCTGGCAAACCGTTTCTGGATTTTGCTTGTTCCCACATTGCAACAGAGCTGTGATTTTCAGCCTCCTACCGATCTGCCATCACTTTGGAGCTTTATTCCGCGGTAGTGTTGGTAGTCCCAAGATCTACAGGAGGCTTTCTTTTCCCTACTAATAGGAGGAAAGAAGTTCCAAGATATTGCTCCAGGTAAGAAAAAAACCCAACCACTTAGCAACAAAATAAGAGGATAAGAGAGGGAACCCTTAGAAAAAGAACTTGAAATACATTCAGTTTCAATTGAACATGTGAGAACGCTCCGGGAGCGGTGTTACTTCAGTCCCTTTTGAAAGCGTTTTGCCGAGGAGCACTGCAGCACCATTGCTGAGCGTAAGCACTCGCTTTCAAAGCAATGAGAAAAACCTGGACGTACTAAAAAAATATCGAATTGCAACATTGATGTTGCTGAGCCTAATATTACACATCATAAAGGAGATGGCTGTTAAGGGTCGACAGGGGATGTTTTAGACTTTCACGAGGTCTGTCCTGTCATCTATGAGCTGATTACAGAGTGTTATACAGGAAAGGACCAGGAGTCTGATCGGAAGGTGCAGACATGCAGGCGTGCTCACAAAAAACACCCTATCACATGGATTACTCTGTCTTTTCAGCGCAGTTACTTGCAGATTTTACCCAGGCGTAGTAATCTCTCCGCTTCTTCTCCTGTTTTGCAGTATTCTGGATTTCACACCGAGAGATCCGAGTCCGACCACGAGAGCCAGTGGGGTGGGAGCCCCTTGACTGACACGGCTTCTCCCCAGCTCCTGGAGCCCGCGGACAGACCGAGCTCCCAGCACCACGATGTCTCCTGTGCCTACAGACAGTACTCAGACCGCGGCGCTCTCTGCTACGGTTTTGCACTCGACCACTCCAGGCTGAGTGATGACAGACATTTCCATACTCAGGCCTGTGAAGGAGGCAGATGTGAAGCTGGCCGGTATTTCCTTGGCACGCCACAGCCGGGAAGGGAGAGCTGGTGGGGTTCTCGTTCAGCATTGCCCCTGACTAAGTCATCCCCTGAGAGCAGAGAAGCATATGAAAACAGTATGCCTCACATAACTTCAGTGCACAGGATTCATGGTAAGAGATAACAAGGGTTTGCAGAAGCGGCACCGTCTCAGATAAAGCAACATGACGTAAACAGGCAGATGTTTGTGTGAGAGATGGAAAATGAGAGTGGCTCTTGATCCCTGTCCCTGTCTCAGAGATTGCATCTATGGAGATGAGGAATACTTACAGTTCAACTTGAGCTTGACAGTCTGGCTCATATGCAGCAAAATAGAATTTATTGTCTATGTTTTAGTCTGTGAAATCAAGATGGGAATATGTGACTGGTGAGATCTTAAGGATGCTTAAAAATATGAACAAATTTCTACTCTTGATAGAAACGTGGTATTTATTTGACTTAATATCAAACTACTTTGGATGGAATATATTTAGCATGAAATTAGTTAGAACTAAACCCAAGCTAGATATTAAAAAAAACTTTAAAGTCTTTGGAGAAATTGTTCTCCAAATGATTTATTTTCTCTGCACTAGTTATTACTAGATTCTTAAATTTTTGCTGATTGCTTTTATTTGAAATTGGCAATTCAAATTAACGTCTGCTTTTGGTTTCAGATATTTATCCCCAGCTATAATTTTTGGTCAATTTGAGTCTCTTCATCCTTTCAGCACCAAGCCTCAAGCCTTGCTTGGTGTCTGACAGGTTGCAACCTCATGGCATTAGCACATCTTTAGAGGTTGAAGTTGATTAAAAATTCAGAATGAAAGGCTGTTCTTGGATTTGGAAAAATCCAAAGATCCTTGAGTTTAAAGGGTACGCTGAGAGTTGAAAGACTGTGACTGGCCCAAAAATCAGAGTTTAAGATTGTAAGGATACATGCAGCACACACACAAAAAAGCTTTTCTACTAAAAAAATCTGTCAAAACATAGGTTGTATCTGAAGAAATCACAAAAGCAAATTACATTAGTACCATTCCATTGACTTGCAAAATGAGGCTTTGGAAATTAAGATTAAAAATTGTACTATTTTACTCCAATCTGACAAAAATTATGTTGCGATTAGAAAAATGATTAAATATCAAGTTCTGGGAAATACAAGCAGAGGAAAAAAGAGGAAAGAAAAGGGCACCTAAATTTTGCTGATGAGTACTGTTCCTCACTTTTCCTGTGAGAATACACCTCCTTCCTTGTGTCTGTTCTGTACTTCTGTCATACTTGTGTTTCTCTAGCTTTTTCCTCTCTAAAACAGAGAATTGAGCAGAATACGATAATTTCACTGGCAAGTTTAACGCATGATAATTCTTACTGAGCATAGAAAGATAGTAATGTAGAAATATCATGCAGAGCCACAAATGCAAAAGTCTTAAATATTTATTCCATACTTTTATCGAGGATAATCAATGCAAATGGATAATATAATTTAATTTTTGGTTTTTCCTTGGTTTTGCTATAACTTCAGATGCTGCAAGTTGTTTTCTTTATTGTATGAAATCTTACACACTTCAGTGGACCTTCACTCTGCATGTGGCTTTGGGGGTAAAACCTGACACATTGGTCTCAGTTGAGGAGAGGAACATCTCAGCTTCCCTTGCAAATGTGCCATTTTAATTTAAATTTAGGCAGTTTCAAACCTTGACCTTTCACAATTGAAACTCTTTTTGATATGATCTCTGAACATTGCTGTCAGAGCAGTTTCTTCAGGCAGAAAACGTTTTCTTCCTTTTCAGTTCTTTTAATGCATCTTCTGGTAGTTCTGGCTGAGTCATCTCACACTAACGACAATTAGCTGATCGGTATGGCAGGTCCCAGGCATTGCATACGAGCCCATGTGTTTCTGGTGACCCTCAGCAAGCCTGGGGCACTGTAGGTATGGCCTGTGAGGTGAGACAAACCGAGTGTGTGGTTTAGAGCCATGGCTGACCAGCTCCCCAGCGTGTCGTGGTGTGCCTGACATATCGCACGCTCTGGAGGCTGGAGCTCTCCTATACCTCCAGGCTCTGGCATTTGGAACCCAGACCCTAAGAGGATGTGAAGGATAAAATTATGCTTGTGAGATACTCTGCAGGGCAGTACTTCCACCTACAAAGGGCGGGATATGTTTATTATGAAAGTCCAACACTGATTTTGTCATGAGCTCTGCAACCCAAACAAATTTGCGTGCCTTGACCCAACACAAAGGGGAAACCCCTCATGCTAGTCTGAAAATGGGTTTTCTTTGAGGAGGGGTCCTGTCAAGCAACCCAGAGGGCCTTGTCCCCAGAGAAGATTTTCTATGTGCTGAGGCAAAGGCATCATTAAGCCATTTGTGCGAGTCCAACACATGCTCTCCTGCGATCACGTACCTCAGCACATCCTTTAGCAAGCCCTTTGTTATAGTGTGGCCTCAGTTGACAGTTCAGGTATGCAGGTCATTCACTTTCTTCCTAGTGGATTGACAGGTCTGACTCTGTCCTTTCAGCTACATACAAGCTGAACACCTTCTCTGATTTGTCTATGGGTCTTATTTTTTAAACCAGGTTTTTCCAGTAACATGGAACAAGTAACAAGTCTAACAGCTATGGGTTCTTATGCTTCTAAAGAAGGAAAACTGCTTCATTTCTTCTGATTATTTGTTGTGTAACCTTCATAAAGTCACCATAGGGCCACAAACTGCTCTGTTGTGCTTTCTTTCTCTATGTTTTAGCTCCTGGAAAGGGCCAAGAAGACACACTGGAGTCATGTACACTTGTAAATCCTTGAGATTTTTGTTTTCACCAGGGTCTCTATTCACTTAGTCTTTGTTGATGCAAAGAGGTAGTGAGGGGTCAGGGAACTGAACATCTGTGTTGAGGGCACTTTGACATGCCCTAGGGTACCCTGCCTGGCCTCTGTCTGCTCCAGAAGACACAAAGTTCTTGTAGAGGTGGTGCCACATCTGCTGGGCCTATGCAGATGCTTCGTTACCCTGGAGCACCTCAGGTGACACTAGATGTCTGTGTTGAGGTGCTTAGATCTCTCATTTGTACATTTTCAGCTGTGTTACTTGTTCCATGTGCAGACACTGGAAACCAGAGGCTGTCAATGAAAAGTAAGGCACCTAAGATGGTAATTTTTGGTGACTTTGTAGGAGTCATTTGCCCCTTCTGTCTGTAAAATAAGATTGAGAGTACATGTTCTTCAAGATTGTTTGCCTGCTTCAACGTCAATGGTTATACCCTTTCTGTCTTTCCTAGGAAGAGGACACTGGGATGAGGACAGTGTGGTTAGCTCACCCGATCCTGGCTCTGCCAGTGAATCAGGCGACCGATACCGTCCTGAGCAATATCAGAGCAGTCCGCACGAGCCCAGCAAAATTGAAACTCTGATAAGAGCCACCCAGCAAATGATTAAAGAGGAAGAAAACAGACTACAGCTGCGGAAGACAACCCCTGATCCACTGGTCTCCATTAATGGCACAGGGAAGAAGCACGCTATCTGTTTTGCAAACTACCCTCAGCAGCAGTTGGCAGTGGATGTCTGCCGCGTCCCAACGGTTGCCAACACTCCTCCCTGTGAACACATCCAGCCACGAGATGGAAAGATGATGAGCCCACATGAAAATGACTATGACAACAGCCCCACAACACTGTCTAGGATAAGCAGCCCCAATTCTGATCGAATATCAAAATCTAGCTTGGTACTAGGTAAAGACTACCTGCATTCAGACATGTCCCCTCATCAAACCCCAGGGGACCACCCAGCAGCCTCTCCAAATTATTACAGCTCCCACAGGCAGTACTTTGATAAGCATGCTTACACGTTAACTGGATATGCCCTGGAGCATTTATATGACACTGAAACCATCAGAAACTATTCACTAGGCTGTAATGGATCACATTTTGATGTGACTTCTCACTTAAGGATGCAGCAAGATCCAGCACAAGGACACAAGGGGACATCCGTTATAATAACCAATGGAAGCTGACACTTTTTTTCTAAAAACTTTTGTGCTTTAAAAATTAACCTTTGAGATCTAATTGGAAAATATTATATGTTTTCATGCCCTTGTCGTTACCAGCATTTGATATACCACAGTGCACTACAAAAAATAGCCTAAGGTTTGGGGGAATAAGTTAGTTAACATACATTGCTTTTAAAAAATAAAAAATGCACTGGCATGCAGGATTATGGAGCTATACTCAAAGTTGGTGCCATGCAAGGTGAGAAGGATGGAAGAGGTCTAGGCAGGGAGTGCTTGGGGCAGGCTAGTAGAGTAATTTACGCGTAATGTGTAAGAGGTTGTTGTTTGGAAACGCTGCCAAGGGCAGACCTTCTGAACTGCCTGTGCCCCACAGATTCCAGCCAACAAAACTGCTATGCACTCTTTTTAAGCAGAAAGTTGGAATGTGTTCCTTTGAAACACGCATCAAAATGCGTACTTCTGGTGATCTATTTATTCCATAATGGCCAAGTGTGTTATGCTGCTCCATGGTATAAAACATCCATGTCTAACTAGTACAAAATCAAAAGGGAGAGAAAGAAGAGAGAAATCCTTGAATTATTATTTCCTTGTGTACTCACATGCATAGCTATTTACATACGCTTGATTTGAAAGGAGTCAGATGAGCAGTATCTTCATGATTAGCATGATCAAATATTTACTTCTGCTGTATTTAAAAGAAAGAGGGCCTTTCTCAGTGTACTTTTGAGAAACACATAGGGCTTGGTTGTCTTGATGTAGAGGTGGGAGACTGCCCTCATATTTTTGAAAGGTTGCACAAGGTGGGTAGTGAAGTGAAACGGAAGAAAATTGTCAGGAGAAACAGAAAATAGGGTGGAATTAGGAGTGGTCCAAGATAAACGCATTTAACCCTATGGCTATGTCTGTCATTTAGTAATAATTACAAAACAAGTAAAAGTGGTTCTAAGTGGCCAAATAATCAAGAATTAATTTAAAACACAGCAGGAACTCAATAGAATTATAGAAATTTTGCTGTAAAATACAAAAGCAACTGCAGAAGTGTAACAATATGAGAGGCAAGAATAGACAAAAACTCTATGGTGGTTTGTCCTACTTCTGATAAAGTTTTGGAGTAAATTAAGAAAGTCTAGAAAATTGTAACTACTCTGTCTGACATACAGTAAAGTAATAGGTATGACTTTGAAAATGAGATACATATTCTTTTCTTGCTTGCAGCAGAAAATTTAATGAATATCAGAACATATTAGAGGTATCAAAATCAGTCATATGTGCATAAAAAATACTGAGGGAAATCGAGTTTCCAAGAAATTCAATTGTATTAAGAATGCTGATATTATCAGGGCCTGTCCTAGAGCTATATAAGACATCAAAAGAGGCAGAGAAACTTTTTTTTACAATTTTTAATAATCTCATGAACAAAGAGACACTAATTGATTGGAAAAGAGTAAATAAAAAACATATGTTAAAACCAGTAAAATAGGTCATTCATAGGCACTATTGCTAGACCTGTCCTTCTCTGTATGGCATTTATATGAAGTCTCAAAAGCTAACTGCAACAGGAGCAGGACCACTGCTCCCTATTATACTGATGTGGAGGTAAGGGGACTTGAGGTGATTATTAAAATGAGATTAGCACTAAGTCTAGCTTCATCTGTAACATTAAGAAGCTTGACATATGGGACCGAGTCATCAATGGGACTAAATATAAACCAGTATGCTATGGGTGGGTTAAAAATATCTATTTTCAAATAAAACTAATCAGAAGCAAAAGCTAAATAATAACATTATAAGCTATACATAAGTAGAGATGTACTTGAAAGCAGAGGAAATTACCTCTCTGAACTTGGAATATCGTGTATAGTTCCGATCACTCCAAGGCAGATTGTGAATCTTGAATTGAGTAGTACCTTACTCCATAAGCCATCTTTGTTGACTGCAGTGCGATCGCTCCTGGTGAAATGTACGTTGCACACAAGGAAGAGCAACACAGTCTGGTCTTCATTATCTAAAGCTCATAATAGAAAAGGTGGAGCAGAGCTCAGCAAAAAGATAAAGAGGCTGAAAGATCTAATAAAAACTTTAAATAAACTGGGTCTGTCATCTTTGTAAGGGAAAAGAATAAGGGGGAATGTCACTGATGTGCACCAAGCTCTGCACAGAAGAGAGATAAATAATGGTCTAAAACTATTTGAACTAGTGGCAGGAATGAGAGACAGGGCATTGAATGTTAGCCAAGGCAAAATGAGAACAAAATGATTTGGCAAGAGATTTATTTGACTAGCTGCCAAATGAATAACAAAAGTCATGAAAAGAAGCAGCTAGAGATTTTTGTTTGTTTATTTGTTTGTTTTAAGATAAAAACAAGGCAAATAATTGAGGGAAAGAAAAACATTGACAACTGTTAACTCAGAGGAAGGAATCGACCAAAATGGACTTCTTTCAGCCCAACAATTGTATATATTCCTAAAGCATAGGAACGAGAAAGTATTTTTGATAAATCTAGTTCTGGATACATATTTATTTCACTTACTCCTATGAATAGTATGAATAAACTTGTATTTGGAGTCTCATTGTACAGTATAAAAATACAATTTGCAAAGCGAATTAGAGTAGAGGTACATGGTATCGTATTATCCCTACTAGTACATACGAAAAATAAGTCTAAGTGTCAATATTATTTTGTATTACAGAAGAGTTTCCTAAACTGTTTGGATGAATGGGATTTTATCAGCACCCGAGTTCCTTGGGATCACCAAGCACCCTTGCTATCAAGCTTTTAATTAGAAGGCAATAGAGATCTGCAGACCAGCTGCAATTCCCTGGTTATGATCTAATGGCCACAAGTAGTCGGGAAACTACAGTTTGGGCACTGTTGTATTTGCATTCTGACAGGCACTTTTCAAAAATAGAAGACTTATAAAATGAACAGGCGTGATGTAAGATGCTTGTACTCTATATGATTTCACCTAGGAAAAAAGCCAGTGTGCTATGCAATAAAAATTCCCCATTCTTGTTTGCTATGATCCCAAAATAAAACTTCCCAAACTGTAGTTATTTATCCTGTTTTCAATAGTTCCAGCCCACTACAATGACAAATGCAGCAAAACGCACTGTAATGAGTGGAATATCTAATATCTCGGTAGAGAGGTCTGCACACGCAGCCGCATTGTGCTACAAGCAAAGGCTGATGCTCACTCCACCCAAGGGATTCCAGCAACTGGCACTCCTTAGCACTTCGGTACAGTCTGCTGGAGATAGTTGCCTTTTGTCAGCTAATTTGCCATCCTGCTTCTTCAGATAGCCAGGGATTTCTTCTTATTTGACAGAGAACATTGAATGTTGTAAACATAGACTCCTCATGCTACATGGAAACAAGTTTGCAATCTTAATTATAGCATATAATATCACTGCAGCTCATATAACATGTACTTTTCAATATAGTATAAAGCTTTTTTTTTTTTCATTACATATTTATTTAATTCTAATTATCATTTAGTATCCTTCAAGGATGTCATCTTTTTTTTTTTTTGTTTCTTCCTTTTAAAAATCAGATAAAATGAGATATTTTGCGAAATTGAAAAATGCAAGGCATTTGTACCACATAAATTTCAAACGCATCACAATAGCTACACGTTATCACTTTAAAGATGCTGTATAGGTTTTGTTTTGGAACGGAAACGATACAAATTGCTATGTTGCATTATTTGTCTGATGCAACAGTGTTTTGCTCTTGACACCAAATTAATACTCTTTAGCTACTCCAAATACAGAGTGACCACAGCTCTTTCAAACCATTTCTTACTGGTATCAGCAGATGGTGCATCATGATTTTGGTATATCTCTTTTGTCTAAAGCAGCAAAAAAGATCCCTCTTCTTTATACAAAATTGAACCCCAGCGGCATGGAGTTTGTGATTTTGGACAAACTGGCAAAGCAATTCTTACATTAGAAGAGGAACCTTACTCAGCAATTTGTCCCATTGGCTCGAATGGGAATATTTGTGGAGTAAGGTACTACTTAATATGTGTAAGGGAACTGGCAATAGGTTCGGGGTTTGTTCGTAATTTTTTTTTTTAAAATCTCAGGATGCGAGTATAGAAACTATGGAAGGTAATAGCTGTAATGGCTGTGTTTCTATAACAGAGGTTATTTATACATGCTTTGAAAAAATGAGTGCATCTCTGCACTGAAAAGCCCCAAAGTATTTTTTATGCTTTAAATGACTTTTGTTGATGTGTCCGCAATACTGCCACAGGTTGCACAGTGAAATTCTGCTCTTTTAAACTCTTTTAATCACTCTTGCCTGAATCTCATTTCTGTCTCTGGACATGCAGCGTTTATCCATTAATGTCCCTAAGTATGTTAACCACCATATGTTCATTTGTGTGAACGCCCTGAGTGAGCTGGAAAAAAAATAAAAGGTCGCACAGTATTTCTGGAAAAGGCACAGCCACCCCTGAAAATCAAACTGGCTGTTGCAAAGGTCAGTTAACCTCTCAGTCAAGGCACAAAGCTGTGGCATACGCATCGGTTTCAGACCTTCTGCATACGAAGCTGTATATAATGGGGATTATAGCACGCAGTTCCAGGATTAGACCTAGCTATGTCTATTTTAAGGTGGCTATAGTTAATGTCTGGCAGCAAATGGATTCAGGCTCTGCTCTTTCCATGAGCTGCAAGTTTACTTAAAACACCTAAGGGTCTAAAAGCAATACAGGCTTTGTTATTAGGAACAGTGGTGGATGAACATGCTTTCCTGTAGGTATACTGGATTAGCTCCAGACACCTCCACAGTGTGGAAGTGGACCTATTTTATTTTATTTGCAGTTAGTATTGACAGTTAAATATTTTGGCTACATACACTGAGAAGCTAAAAAAAAAAACCCAAACACCCAAAAACCCACAACAGAAAAAACCCAAAAAAACCCCAAAAAACCCCACAGTTTTTTTCTATAACCCATCAGTTTGGCATTAGTAAAGCCTGCTAGAGGTGTAACTGAGGG